ATAATAAACAGTAGATTAGTTTCTATATCGTATCCTAAAAGATGTAAGTAAAGTTCTTTGGCATCAGCCCGTCTTCACTTTCTCCAAGTTAACCAGTGAAAGCTGAGAAAACTGGAAAATATCCATACATAAATAATAAAATATTGGAATCAGACAAATTCCGTAGTCACACGGTTTATCATAAATCATTTACGTAATCATTTTATCGATGTAGTGTGACCACAGAGGCTATAACTTCTGAATGTGAGGTTAAAACCGTAGTGGGGTTTTAGTTTTCAGTTCACTATTATATTTTTTTATTCATAAATTCCTTTAGATTGCTCTTTTTGCAAAAATATTTCTGCTTCCTTTTCTAAGCTTTAGTAACTTTTAAAAAATTACTCCATACAACAAACTTGGTAAAGTATAGAATAGTGGTTTTTACTATTCTTTTTACCATACTTGTTCTGATAAATATAAAACTCTACCTTCCTTCATTAGAAACATACTGAATCTTAATGTAAATCTCTTTTATTATATACACCTTTTAGAAAACGTTAACAAATTTTGGGACTATTTTCCCACAAACACATTTTAATAAAATAAATACATATCAATAAACCTACATCCCAATACCTAATCTTGAAACAAGATCATTCAACCTAATGATGTTTATGTTCAAAAACAACAGATTTGCCTTCTGATTTAACATGTTCGTGTCTCCATTGGGAGCTGGTTGCAGGTTCCTTATGATGGGATTCGTGCTTGGTCTCTTCATGGTGGTATTCTTTCTGGACTGATTCAACTTGTTCGTGTCTCCATTGGGAGCTGGTTGCAGGTTCGTGATGATGGGATTCATGTTTCTCTTCATGGTGGTATTCTTTCTTGACTGGAACTTCAATTTTGATAGAAATGGGCTCTTCATGCTTTTCGATCTTCTCCTTTCTCCATTCGCTGACTTTGGCAGACGAGGTTTCTTTCTTGGTTGGGTGAGCGACAGCTACGGCCAATAAGGCAGCTAAAACAAATAACTTGAACATTTTGAATGAGATTAGTTTGTGTTGCTTAGAGAAGAGCAAAAACGAAACTGATAATAAACAGTCGTTTTTTGTGACTTTTATATCAAAATTTGTTTAAAGAAGGTCATTTCCTGGTTGGTACTATCAATAGTGCGATTTTATGAAAGCAACGTCGGTAACGGCGTTAAAATAAAATTAGACTAACTGTTACTTGTACCTATAATTATTCCTTATGTGTCTAATTACATTTTTACTTAGTACTCAATTCGACGAATCGAAGTATTGTTGTCATTAGAGGAGTAGCTATATTGTGCTATATGATAAGGAGAATAATATGTATAAAAGAAAATCAACAATTCAAACTATCTTCGGTTTAATTTGTTTAACAGATTTGGCAAACTAAAACGAACTTTTTATGTTTATAGTTCCGCACCTTTCATTAAAATACATCTATTCTGTTAGCAGCTTCACCCTCAGTATATGCGATATATAAATTTAATTTAAGGACTATAATTCTAATAAAAAATCGGAGAACAAACGTCATTAAACGAGAGCGGACTCGACTATTGTTTTGAGATTTTTAAGAAACGCCTTGCTTTGTTTCAACCCTTTACAATGTGATTTCCGCCAAATGGACCATTAGTTAGCCCTATGTAATTGTCAGAATTGGCTAATTCTAATCTAAATAATTGACCCAATCGTTTCGGTTGTGCGTTGATCATCAGTCAGTCAAAACAACATTCTTTATCCGTAGAGATACACTTATTGGGTATACGAATAGCCAACAGCTATGTTTGTCTTATGGATTATTATTAACAAAAAAACCTAACGCAAAACATTGCCTAGGCATTTCCGAAAGCAGTGACGATTTCAAAAGTAGTTAACGTTTAGGAAAATTGCAATGCAGGGTTGGAAATTTTGCAAGAATTAAGATTTTCTTGTAGTTCGAGATGATATAATAATATAAATTCGTTTTCTTTTCAATGTTTATATTTAATATCAATCTCTCATGGTGGCTGTTTATTAGGCAGGTATTTAATACTGGTATCTAATGTGCAGCTATGACATTTGTTTGCTTTTCTGAATGAATGTCCTGTCTGTGTTTGTGTAAAAAAATTATTTATGTCTTTTAAAATTCCCTATTTATTTATTCAGTTGATATCTTAATTATTGTTTTGTGTTGGTATTATATCCGTGGTATCTCCAAGAATAACTTTCGATGTAAAAAGAATTTTATTTTGTAAAAAGTTACAAAATTAGTTTACAACAAAATAACTGTCGAATCAAGAAAAAATACATTCCGTCTAGTTTCTAAGTAAACATTAACAACTGCCAAAAAAACAATTTCATACAATACTTGATTATTAGTAACAACATTTTTAGATTAGGCAGAATTGACATGTGACAATTTAGAAGAGAATTACTAAATTTAAACAATTCTTTGATTTATCTCAACACTCCTTCTCAATCAAATAATTACAAAATTTTACAAACAGGTTTTTGTTTAAAGGTTTAGTCAGAATGTCGGCGATTTGTTTCGTGCCTTCAATATGTTTGACAGACACAGTCACATCAACATGTTGTTGAATAAATTTACGTGCGATTTCAATGTGCTTCTTTCCTTTGTTCACCTTACCCTCGTGGGTGTTCATCAACATATGAACAGCTGACTTGTTGTCAACATACATGGGGAAGGGTTGATCATCTTGCAGGATCTTGAGTTCTCTCGCCAATCTTCTCATCCAGCATACATCATCGATCGCTTCACATGCCGCTCGATATTCTGCTTCTGCTGTCGAGGTCGCCACAAGTTTCTGTCGTTGTGAGTACCAAACTAGCGGGCCTCCTCTGAGTATCAGTCGTCCACTTGTCGATTTCATCGTCTCTTTTTCTCCTCCAAAATCTGCATCAGTGAATACTTTGAAGTTCTTGTCTCCTTCAAAACGAATTCCTGCATTTGGAATTCCTTTCAAGTATTGAAATACTCGTTTAACCATTTTCCAATGGCTTTTCATTGGGTTGCAGCATTGTCGACTCAAATAATTTACAGCAAAGCTGATGTCGGGTCTTGACACGGTTGCGAGGTAAAGCAAGCTGCCAATGGCTTCACGATAGGGTGTTCCAACTGGCACCTTCTCATCGTTCATAAGTTCCTCCTTCTTTGTTATCATACCTGATTCCATCGGCGTTGGAGCTGGGTTGCAATTTTCAAGGTTCATCCTTCGCAGGATT